GTATTGCCTCCGTACTCTCCTCCCTCCTCTCTCTCTCTCTCTCTCCCTGGTCCCGCGTCACCGCGTGCGTAAAACTGAGACGGAATGTCGGCTTCTCTTTGTAAACGTTTGTCGCTCCGCGAGCGATAACGCGAGAGCGCGGTCCGGCCTCGTCGTACCTCTCACGTCGCATAATCACGTGTCTTTCGTTGCAGCTAACATGGGTGTTTCACGATGACGAGGCGCAGATTAACAAGAAACTGCCAAAAGAATTGCTACTCAGGTATAACGACGGATTCACGAACACCTGGCGTCTCGCGGCTTAACGCGTCGAGAGTGTGTTGGTTTTATCGCGATAAGACAACAGAAATCATCGATTCGCATCGGTTGGTTTTAAAAACGACAGATATTTGGGACACCCATTACATATTTGAACTAGATAAAGCTAGATGTTTTATCTGAAGTGGTGGATTTCTCGTATTTACACTTGGATCTTTTATGTCTTTTTATATTTTTAAATGCGATCGCGTGTATTCAAAATCCTTATATTTTTGCGACAAAGAAAAACGGAGCTCACATGCATATTTTATCGCACGTTACATTCATGCTCTTTGTTTGAAATTTTGTACGTCTGAAACGAGCATTATTTGGTGATTATTTAATATTGCTATCTTACCTCCAATTTTTATAAATTTATGCTCATTCGTCGTGCTTTTGCGTGAAACGTGAAAGAATCTGACAGAAAAAACTTTGCCCCGCGAAGCGAGATAAATTAATCGTTAAAGTTTTTTTTTTTTTTATAATTGGGTATTTAACGTGCCGTCAACCATATGATATCTAGTTGGTTTAAAAATCGTTAAAGTTGACCACGTTTCAGGTTAAGAAAACTATTATATACTTAAGACACATGCTTAAAAAGGTATGTGTGGATCCAATGGGTTTGGCCCTTTCTACGGGGGGGCTGCCACCATCTGTAAACATGGGCTGCGTTCGCTTTGGACGCTCACGCACTAAACGCATCAGTCTATCTTTCTTGCTCATGATACGTCGAAGAAAGATAGAAAAGTGACGCTTTCAGTGCGTAAGCGTCCAAAGCGAACGCAGCCATAAGTGTGGATTGGAATCTCGCTTCGTGTGGAAAGTTATAAGCGTAATCTGAAAAGTGATCAACTTTAACGATTAATATCTCGTTTCGCGGGGCAGAGCGACACTTTTTTCCGTGAAATTCTTTCGTTTTGGACGAAAACGCGTCGAATAAGTGTAAATTTGTAAAAATTGGAGGCGAGGTGGCCATACTGAATAATCGGCCATCATTTTTACGCCGAGACGCGAATGTAAACATCTTGCGAGCCATTAGCCGCGCGAAGAAGTTAAATCCACATTCTCAAGGTGTTAAGTAATCGCGAGACGCGATCGCAACATGCACGCCGTTCTAACGAATCGCCATTATCTCGATAGAATTTTTTCGTACCTCGATGTCGTATCGCTATGCCGTTGTGCCCAAGTAAGCAAGGCCTGGAACGTGTTAGCGCTCGATGGGTCCAATTGGCAGAGGATCGATCTCTTCGACTTTCAACGAGATGTGGAGGTAAATAAAAAGACGGACACGCGAACATCTCCGTCTTGCAGGCCGCATTTCTGAGCCGCGATTAATGCGAGGGTGACGGGTGGTGGTTTTTGTGTGCGCAGGGACCAGTAATAGAAAATATTTCGAGGCGTTGCGGCGGATTCCTCAGGCAGCTCTCGCTGAAGGGATGCCAGAGCATCGGCAACAACTCGATGCGCACCTTAGCTCAATCGTGTCCTAATATCGAGGAGCTCAATCTGAGCCAATGTAAGAGGATCTCGGATGCGACCTGCGCGGCCCTCAGCAGTCACTGCTCCAAACTGCAGCGACTCAATCTGGACTCGTGTCCCGAAATAACGGACATGTCCCTGAAGGATCTCGCGGCCGGCTGCCTGCTGCTCACTCACATCAATCTCTCGTGGTGCGAGTTGCTCACCGACAACGGAGTCGACGCGCTCGCCAAGGGCTGCCCGGAGCTCCGTAGCTTCCTGAGCAAGGGATGCCGCCAGCTGACCGACAAGGCCGTGATGTGCTTAGCGCGCTACTGTCCTAATCTCGAAGCGATCAATCTACACGAATGCAGGGTACTTATCTCATTGACTCCGCAAATCCGCGTATTACGCAAAGAGGAGAACAATTGCGTTTTCCCGCCTCAGACGTCGCGCGACGGATTTGTCGCTGACGAGATACCGCTACTACGTAGCTTGGAAGAGAGATAAGACTTTCACGTGTCGCCGAGAAAAGAAAAAAAAAAAAAAATAGGCAACTTTTTTTCAGATTGAGAAAGTTGAAAAAAGTCGGTCTCGTAAAATAATATTTACGATTGGTGTTAGATTTAATATAGCGTTTGTATGTATTCGTGCAGAGACGCTAAAGGCTTTCACCTCCCGATAGAAAGCGTGATATATTAATGCGAAGAAGAAGATTCACGGTTGTTGCTAAAATAAATATTCGAAAATCCTGATTACCTCGTTGGCAATAAATTTTACAGAATAAACAAAAATTGTTTATTTCGCGTAAGTTTAATAATTATTTCTTAAATTTCTATTGGAAGTAAAATGTTTGTCTGCGTGACTTGAGAAATTGTTCTAGGCGTCGCGTGCGTGAATAGAAATTCATTTCAGTCTCCTTGTTGCAGAATATAACGGACGACGGAGTCAGAGAACTTAGCGAACGGTGTCCACGGCTGCATTACGTTTGCCTGTCGAATTGCCCCAATTTAACGGACGCGACGTTGATTAGCCTGGCACAACACTGTCCACTCCTCAGTGTACTCGAGTGCGTCGCGTGCACCCATTTCACGGATACGGGCTTTCAGGCCCTCGCGAGAGTGAGTTGATCGGCGAAACATTAACATTAAAAAAACGCGAAACTCTAACTTACGACTTTCGACTTTCAGAATTGCAAACTGCTCGAGAAGATGGATCTGGAAGAGTGCCTTTTAATCACCGACGCCACACTCACTCACCTGGCGATGGGTTGTCCGAGACTGGAGAAATTAGTAAGTAATAATTTGATATGAATGTTTTTTGTACGTATGCAATATATATATGATATTCTCAGGTAAAGCGTTTAGTATTCGCGCGCAGTTTTATTTCAACTGCGTACGACGCTTTATTTTTATCGTGCGCCGTTGATAACGGGAATGCGGATATGATATTTGCCGTTTCCGAGCGCAGAGTCTGTCCCACTGCGAACTGATCACCGACGAAGGCCTCCGGCAAATCGCGCTGTCGCCGTGCGCGGCGGAACACCTAGCCGTCTTGGAGCTGGACAACTGCCCGAACATCTCGGACAACGGTCTCAACCATGTGATGCAGGCCTGTCACAATCTTGAGCGCATTGAACTCTACGACTGCCTACGCATTACCAGAGAGGGCATACGTAAACTCAGAGTATTGTCCCGTTTTATTGTTATATTTCACAAGGATGCGTGCGCGTTACGCGGAAAAAGCAATCGGGGCCGCGTTTCCCGTGAAGCGTTATATTCAGCGCTACGCGTATATTTATTTGCGTATCACGCAACTGTTTATGAATTGTAGATCGCGCATTCCGCAAAAAGTATCATTGCGCACAATCGTAATCCTCCGAGTATAATTAATACTGCTTTTTCCGTTTAACGATGAATCATATTTTTAACGGACTCGCGCGACCGGTTTGCAGAGTGGTTAATAATACATTAGGTGTACACATCATCATCGATTACAATAGACTACTGCGAGTTACAAAAGTCACTTCGGTCGCGATTGTACAATTAGTCAATTTCTCATATTACTAATTTCCGGGATGCTTAAGCGATTGTCTGTCCCATTTCTAGGCCCATCTACCCAACTTAAAGGTGCACGCGTATTTCGCACCGCCGACACCGCCGCCCAGCGCGGGAGCATCGCGACAACGATACTGTCGATGCTGCGTCATTCTGTGATTTTGCCTTCAACTCCTAACTCCGAAGTAAAAATCGTCCGATATACAACTCACGGGATTATAGTGGACCTTTATCGGTGGTCGCTGGAAGTACGGCGATTGTGGGACCTCTCTCTCGTGATTACCGGGGAGGAACGCTCCGGTTGCCTCATCACACATTGATAAAAGTGAGGAACGGGACTCGTTGTCGATCGCAGATCGTTCAATCGATTCGAGCTCTAAGCGCAACGAGTGAATCACGTCACCATCATCAACACAGCCACTGATGCTACTACTGCAATTACCACTATGATCGCTGCTGCTGCTGTTGCTGCTATATTACTACAACTATTATTACTACTACTACTACTACCGCTGTAACTATTACACTTACTATTGTTTCTATTTGTACTCCGTTATCTCGGTGGTATGTGCATCGCTACTATTATCTCGGTTATATTACGTGCGAGAAGTTGGTCTGCAAAGGAAAGAAATTCTCAGGTTTCTTTAGCGATGTTACGGTTTCCATGATCCTCATTTAGCGCGACGTTCACGTCCGCGGAAAAGTACGACGCGCACGCACTTTCTGAGCTATCCGTGCCGACATTAAGCGACGTGTTTAAAAGCAGCTTATTTTGATTAGCGTTTGGACGCGTACTTTCCTAGCGCTACGCGAGCAAGTTTATCGATTTATGTTGCTCGATAAACGCGAGATACTTATTTTAAGATACGCGTAAATACGTCTTATAAATATCTTAAGCACCCGCGTGCGTACTACCGGCGGAATGAGGGTGAGAAACGGTAGTTTTAGGGTGGCAAACGGAATCGAGCGCAATGCGTGCAAATGTATCCAAGAAATCGAATTTCATACACATCTCGGTGTGTAATTGTAGCAGTTTCTCAACGAACACTGCCTATAATGCTATTGATAAAAAAGAAAACCAAAAAAAAAACGAAAAAAAAACAAACACGGTATATAGCGACCGCGAATCGAATCTCGTCGTAATAATATTTAGGGTATTACTATCGTTTATCGTATAACGTAGACATATACGCACCGATAAAGTGCTTTCGGTGAAAATATTTCTTCTCGGTGTCTGTTTAAAAGTATTAACGGAACGCGCGTACGTGATTACCGAACGATACCTACGAATTTCTTTCCTTTCGTAAAAAAAAAAGAAGAAAAAAAAACAGAAACAATGCGTGTCGCGAAGTTTTTCGCATTAAGGGCGCACAATTCAACTTTAACGATGAAAATTTTGACATATTGTGATTGTGAACACTCGAGACAGAAAGGGAGAAAAAAAAGGGAGTGAGCAAGAGAGAGGGATGCTCGAGTATCGTCTTTCAAGACTCGTTCGACTGCCGCTGCTGGCACAGCTTGGCGGTGGCACGCGAGAGATGCATTTTACATCGATTCGCGGGCAGACGGTATTTCGCCCGCAAATCGTACCTTCGAGTCTCGTGTAAACGTAACCATTTTTCCCTCGGCAGCCCGGACAGCTATTCTTTTATTTCGTTTCTCTATTTTATTATTTTATTTTTTTTTTTTTTTTGTAACTTGTCATGGACTAGGAGAGCACAGACTGACAAACGAATCAAAGCGTTAATGTGTTAAACCAATTAACTTCGTGCCGGCGGCGAACATCGTCGGCGTTTTACTTTTTAAGCCTAGGTTAAAAAACGGAATAGCGGCAGTATATCATGAAGACACGGAGATAACGCGAAGAGCGGTTAATCGGCGATCTCCGCTCGCGACCTTCGCCAAATTACTCTGAATACTCCGTGATTACAGTGACGATGTGTCCGATGGTGGAGAACAAACAGACAAACAAAAGAGACACCTAATCTTTGGCCCAGTGCTTGTAGCGCCCGATCGCTAGATCGGCGCAAGTCTTTTAATCGGATCATAGTATTGTTCAATGAAGCAACCGATTTGTGCGGGACTTTCGCAGACGTTGTAAAGGGACGAGCAATTCATTACGAGACGCGGAATATCGAATACGGTTTCCCGAGGCTGGGAATTGACCGCGGTAGAACGAACAGCAACCCCTGCATACGTGGATTGCGATTTTCCAATTTAATTGTACACGAAGAAAATTCCGCAGCGCAGTTTTCACCGATAGTTCTCACGGCAGAACGGATTTGGGTTCTCGAATCGACAAAGTTTATTTTGAATACAAAAGACACTCTACATACATTGGCTATATTTTTAGAAGCGTACTCTTGCCAGATTTTTACTGAAGAAGCCGAGGACGCATTTCGGACGCGTGAATGGCCGGTCGAAGACCAAACAAAACAAAAAAAAAAAAACGACAAAATTTTCAAGCGGTCCAGTTTCGAAGTGCAATATCCGTCAGACGCGAGACGCGCCTCGTATTCCTTCCTCTGTCTTTAATTCGTGAATCGCGAATGTGTAAACCCGAAAAAAAAACGCAACAGCACGGCGTGTCGTCGCGTTTGAAAGGGGAAAAAAAAAAAGAAACGAAGAAAACCGATTGTTAATCTTTTTTGGTAGTATGTAAGAGACGTACCGCGTATATATTGAACATATAGCGTGTAACAGAAATAACGGATACGGCAACCTAGATATATATAACAGTAAATAAATATATAGATAAGATATGTTTTATACGCTGCATGTCATCTCTAGAGGAATAACGTGATCATTGTAAACGTGTCGTTCGAAGTCAGGTTAATAATTATAAGCGATGTACGATTACGCGCGCGTGACGTAACCGCGATGATGCAGGACACACACGGATGCATACGCATACATACACACACATAAAACACACACATACACGCATAAAAACACACAGACACACACACACTCACACACTTACACATCATACACATCATACACGCTATCCGCACTCGTGCAAGGCTTTCCGACCTCTCGCGAATCTCGATATGAGCGTTTGCGTTTTCCTTTCGAGCTCCTCCGAACGGAATTATTTCTCGCATTACGACTTCGAGATTCGATCACGCGATTTTCTACTACACAGATGGAAAGGAAAAAAGAATGAGCTCTTTCACACACTGCGTAAATTTTTTAGCGGCGTTCAAAAATGATATTTATGCGATATTCAGAACGATTCGAAGTGAAAGAGTTCACTGACGAATTTCGCGATCGACATCCCGATTGACTGCGCCTGACTGTTGTTCGACGCACTGGTTAAACTCAAAATACAAAGTCAATCGCAGTGCCTGAAATGTTACAAAACTAATCTGTGTATCTGAAATTGTTATTGACCGGCGTGCTGCTTCGCCGCGCGATGCGAGCTCTCCCGCGCGATAGATTGTAACGCTCGTAGAATGTTGTTTGGCTGAAACCAAAGTTTAACTCGGCCTGCGATCATCAGTCAGGGCACAAAAGCTGTACGCGTATACCGGTGATACTCCTGTCGGAGGAAATTCGCAGAGACGTCTGTCACATTAGTCGCTGTTAATCGATCATTGTTATCATCATTAATTACGTTGCGTTAGCCGGTGACAAAGCGCAGTTTGGTAACCGCAAGAGCCTGTCGGGAATCCTTTTGACCCGTGTGTGTGAAATTTGCTCTGACAATTTTTAGAACGCGATAAACTCTGTCTGATTTTCTGAAAGAGAGAGAGAGAGAAAGAGAGGGAGAGAGAGAGAGAGAGAGAGAGAGAGAGAGAGAGAGAGAGAGAGAGAAAGAGCTAAAGAGATTCAGATATTAATCGAAGTCAGCGAAAGTATCCTGATATCCGCTGCGTGTGTCGATATCGGATTGACGCGATCAGTCCTGTAATAGTCGCGGTAAAGCCGAGGACGATTCGCCGACGCGGAATCGAATCGGATCGGCCGTTATCAATCAGTCGTTTTAAGTAATAACGGAAACTCTAAAAATATACGTTTCACGTACAACACAACATCCATGGTCTACACGTGTCGGCCTACACGTGCCTCCCGACAACCTCGACAACCTCGGCTATCGAGAGGACGTCGCAAAGAAAGAAAAAGAAAGAAAGAAAAAAAAAACAAAACAGATTCGCGTACGAATACTGTAGCTAATTATATTGACACTTCGCTGCTTCGAGAAGCTGCAGTCTACCATGTATATATTTTCATTAATGTATGTATAATAAAATATATTCGAGACAATCCGCTGATTTTTTATTTTACGCGCGCACAGAAGATATAAAAAAATGTATTAATAGAAAAATTATGAAGGGAAGGTATTTTTATATTTACTTTATTCTTGTATTTTACGGTATTTTTATATTTTATATTTATATTTATGTTCTAAAAAAATTTTTTTATATTTGTTTACGCGTGGAGAAAAAAATATCGAGCATCGCATTGATTATCAGAAATTTTTAAATTATATGAACACTGATTGCGCTTAACGATTCTGTTTAACGAGTTTTTACGTTTCAGCTAAGTAAGTCAGTTAAGTAAAATCAGTATTTATTAACTGATCTGCGGCGGCTGCGACAAGCGTTTTATTGATACGTGAGGATATATCATTGAATTATGAGTACATGTCGTTACGTGAACACAGAAGGACCGTGTGTGCATCGATTTGCCATTATCACGCGCATTACTGGCTGATTGGCAGCGTTCATTACATTAACTCGATGGTGGCCCGAATGAGCTTTGAATAACTTCCGAGTCTAGTCGAGGTCAGTCTTTCAGTTGAACATAATTCTTTGCCTTATACGCTTTCAAACGTACTCGCTTCCCGACACTCGTGACAAATGATTTCGACAGCTCTTTGTCTCATTTATACCTTCGAGATCGCTACCACCTTCCGAATAGATAGGATCAAGATTGATTTTTCTTGCGAAAATTAAATTCTGATTTGTAGAAGAAAAATTTAGCAAGATTATATTCGCATTTGTAGTTTATAATTTATATAACTACCAATTTATTTTGCAAATAGAAATTATACTTTTTAACTAAGACATAGTCAGTACAAATATGTGCATTAATTTTATAAATTTGACAAAAAAATAATGATTTGCGAGATAACTTTTGACCGCTTCGACGTTCATCAGGGAAAGATTTTAAGATCCATGCTCGTCTCGAGAAGATTTTAAAGTCCGCCATTTCGGAGAAAAAAGTTCAGCGGTTTTAAGAGCGGATAATCGCGAATGACACTTTCAATAGGAACGCCAAGCAATTGGATCGTGGATCATTTCGTCTATACGCCGAGGAACGATAATGAAATGGAAAATGGAAACGAAGACGTTCAATGGGAGTTTCTCGTGATCGGTGGACGAGTTCCGTGGAATGAGGCGCAGGCAATCTGCCCCATTTACGGACACCTAAATCCTCTCCCGACTTCCGAGAAGGAGGAAATGGGATACGACGAATCCTCTAACCGCCGGATCCTCTAACACGCGAGACGGAAGCGGACACGGGAAGCACGTTGGCCGTACTCGACGAGGACACGAAGGATTGGCTCGCACGGATGATGTCCGAATCAAACTACCGTTCGTTTTATTATTTTATCTTCCTTTTTTCTCTCAATGTCTGCAAACATGAAAAATAGATCTAGTGTTTCAAATCCGTCGGCTTTACAATTTTAATGCAGATACACATGTTTGAATAATCAGATATGTTTTTTTTTTAATCTGGATCTGAAATCTGAAATAAATTTACAGGAAATAATATAATCAAATAATTTAAATAAAAACAATTTTTCCGGTTTATTAATTATTCTGAATTATTCTATATTTATTTTGTATTTTTAAAATATTTAATATTGAACTTTATTTACACTACAATCGCTCAGGATACGATAGCCTCTGGATAGGAGGTCAGAGAAAGGATTCCACCAGCAACTGGACTTGGATCGATACAGGAAAAACAGGAGACGCGTTGATACACGACTCTTTGATAATGAAAGACCCCGCCTGGTACGTCGCTAATGATCATACGAGTAGTGAGAAAAATTGTCTCGTGTTTGACAGATTGGACCGCGACACTCCTTCATTCGTGCCAGAAAATTGTCGACACCGAAAACCGTTCATCTGCATGAGAGCCAGTGAGGAAAATCGTCGCGTAAAACAAGAATATGCGATTCGCTTCGCAAATTGGCCAGACGTTTTTATTAGAAACGATCGTAAATCGTCGTGACATTTGTTACCGCGCTCATTCGCAATAAATTTCTCCACGCTTTTAATCAGCTGTTTTTATTAAGTGTCACGCAAGTGGTGCAGCTTGCAGTGTCAACCATATTACATGTTTTTCTTTTGCGTCTATTTGCAATCTATTCTATTCTAGTCTGTTTCTTCTCGGATCTCTTGCGTTGAATACCGAAGCGCGACCTTAGCAAACTGCGTGCGCAATATTTATTTAATAAATAAGAAATTAATTTCAAATTTTAATTTTGATTGGGTTAAATCTGATTTATTGTTAATCTAATAAAATATTCAGAAGCATAATTAACAAACGGCAAGTAAGAAGAAATTGTTAAGAAGAACGGAATATTTTAAAATTAAAGCGAAAAAGAAACCGAAAGAGGGGATCGTCGAGGGTAGCAGCATCTTCGTCGACGGCCAGCGCTATCAAATTATTGATGACGAAGATGAGGAGTTACTTCGAGCTGAAGGAGTGCGGAAAGTCAACGGGGGTGGTATTACGTGGAGAGACGCTCGGTTGCAGTGTAAGAAAAGAGACAAGCATCTCGCCATGATCTTCATTAACGAGGCAGCCACCATTCTAGCGAACGCTATGCTGCGAAGCAGACCGTGTAATATGCATCTTTTGTAATTTATATATATATATATATATATTATACAAAATCATTGAATTTCTTTAAAACAATAGAAAAAGAGAAAAATAAAAAATGGACCGACTATACACATTGACGTGAAATAGTCACCGCGCGACCATACTTTCTAATTTAGATAAACTGATTTCTGTGACTGACAGCTATGGAAAGCGTATGGTTGGGCGGTTGGAGCATTGATGGCACCGATTGGACATGGCTTTCGTCAGGATTTACACTACCGTCGAAAAAATTGAATGTCACTTTGTATCCACCTTGGTCGGACAATCATTCCATATTACCGTTGAAGAACGACGATTATTTTCAAAAGGGAAGATGCTTGATACTTGACAGACATCTCTGCGCGGAACACCAGACTCCGGCTTTTCTCGATCTGGACTGCGGGAAAAGGAGGCCTTTCGTTTACCAAGATGGTAAATCTAATTTGTTAATGTGCTCTTTGAATTGTTTAATTTTATAAACAATTTTATTAACCATAATGCATTTAATATGATAATCTCAACGTTAAGTGAAAACCTAAATGCGACATCTTTTTCCAAATCTAGCGATTTCAAGAATGATGCATGATAATGAGAGAAATATATTATTCGAAAATAAAAAATTAATATTTTCTTATGTTAAAATGATGTGGAATGAAGGCGAAGCTTATTGTCAAAAAAAGTCCGGTCGCATAGCCAGCATACCGGACGCAAAAACTTTATCCGTCGTATTGGAGAACGTGACGGAATTGAGTATGTATGTGTGCAGATAAAATATATTTATCGAAAATAATTTAAAAAATACTTTATCAAATAGATTAATATTTTTTCGAAGATCTTTTAAATAAAAAAAAATTATTGATGTGAAAAATTTTATATGAATTTTTTCAGAGTATTGTAATTATTGTGTAACATTTTAAACTAATTCGCCTAAATATTATTTTATTTAATGTTGAATTTATTCAATTACATGTTGAAAATAAAATCAGCATTAGATCATACTTGGATCGGTGGACGCACAATGATGTCCAAGGATGGTTGGAAATGGATGGACGAAAATGGTGAAGTTCTCACGAGGGATGGTCTCGGTGCTGGCAGTTCCTGGTGCTTCGATAAGAACGATAGTTCCTTACGCCGATCGTGAGATCTGCCTAAATCTGGATCGCGAAGGTCATGGCGCACCCTTATTTTACGGTTTACCCTGCAACACCAGTCAATACGTTCTCTATAATTTAACCACTCGTAGAAATCTGGATTTAGCAGTCGCAGAAGTAAACGAGACCAAGGTTGAGGAAGGCATGGGTAAAATATATTTCACTGTCTATTTAAATAAACAATCTGATTTGTATAAATATTTGCATAAAGCAAACAGAAAGATTTTTATTTAATAAAATTTGTACGTTGTTAGATATTCAACAACAAGCTATAGATTTAGCAAGCAGAATACGTAAGCTAGCGGAAGATAAACAGTCTGGTCTGCTTTTTGTAATGGACGACAGTTTAAGTGTCTTGAACGCATGGTTTACTGAAGAAATGAAACTAGCAGCTACGCTGGTTCGCCGATTCTTCCCGTAAGAATTATTTGTACCGCCTGAACATAAATTGATAGAAACTTATTCCGGTAAAATTAAATATCTAATTTTTTAAATTAATTACCTGGCAGATTATCACACGATCATCCGATGGGTACGATCACTTTTTCGCAAAAAGCGAAGAGACCTCTCGCTTTGAATCAGACGGATACTTGCGATGTAATGACTTTGTTGTCCAAAGAGATGCTTGCAAATCGCACAACTCGCGTAAGCGAGGATCTTAACGGAGCAACCGGAAAAACTACGAACTTAATTAACGCGGCTCTTATGTCGGCGGAAGCTGTTCAAGCTTCAAACATACAACGAGTCATTTCAGGTAAAGCATTTATATTTTAGGTAAAGTATCATTGATTTCAATATAAAAATAAGTTATTGTAAAACATCTGTTACACCTCCAATCGTAATTTTATAGCATGATTAAAAAAGTTTTAGATGTACTATTTCTTAGAGTTATGAATTAAACCTTTTATAGTTGAATAAATGAGAAATTTTAAATATTTTTAAGTGTTTAGAAAATATTTTTATTCGAAATAATATACGAGCTTTATGTGTATATGTTTCACGAACTCATTTATTACTCTAATTATAATAATTTTATTGCTTATTATTTATATAAATATTTTTAATATGATAAATGCGTTTACAGTCTTCGTGACGGATGGAGGACATATGACCGAGGAAAATGACAAAGAGAATTTACGAATCGCAGTGGAGAGCTTGCAGAATCTAAGAAACGACGGTCATGAAGCGTTCGCCATCGTCATTAGCCAAGGCCAGAAATACGCGGCGAACTATAACGTCATCGAGGAACTATTTTCTACGTCTCTAAAAGGAGAACGGAATCTCTATTTTGTCGAAGATTACGAAAGATTAGCAGAAATAAATGCTGCATTGAATTCCACGGGATGAAAGGAAGATTATGCTGCTCAATGTAAGTTGATTTTTAATTAATATACTAATAAAATAAAAACTCGAGAATTATAATGCACAATGTAAAAGAGAAAAAGATTATAAGTTTAAAAAAATGATTTTTATGCAGGCGAAGAAATACAATGGATTATATCTAAGGACAACGAACTGCTGGCTTATCTATTACAATCGAAAAAGTAGTCGCAGAACAATTAATTACACATATCTAAAGTTAAAATAAAAAATGGAACAATAATCGTAGTAATACGTATTACAAGTTTTTATATTTGTAATTCGAATCTATTAATTATCTTTTTGGATGTAATATAAGAAACATAATTATAAGTCTATTTTTTGGATTTATTTAAGAAAAATTATTCATATAAATACATAAAATGGTAAAATAATATTATAAAGTTTCTCTGATAACTTTGATGATTTTGGCGGATATTGTCGCATTTCGGCGGCTCGAATATAGTTCACCGGCGCAGTTGGCAGATGGCGTAGAATGCTCTCGTCCATTTAACTCTGCAGTCTAGTTGATTTTCGTTGTCCACGTCGTTTCTCGTTGGCAATATCGGAAAGTGGGTGTTGCTTTCGTCACCAGTCCGTCAGCTCGCGACCGTTCGTGCTTACGGTGTCAGGAGTATCGTGTTACGAAGGGTGGATACGGGAAATCAGTACTCTCGGCAGATCATCCTCGAGGAGTCATGCGTAAGTGAAAACTCGATCTCACTTTCCTCGGTACCGGCGTCTCGGCATTACTCGGTCACTTGAACGCAAAGGGTTACGCAGGGCTACATCCGATCGATAATACTAACCGTTCGCAAGACATATCGGACGAACGGATAATTCCAAATGTCATTTAAGAAACGGTCGTTATTCGTCGTGATGGTAGTTATCTATTGTAACGAGCGTATTTATATCTCGGACGATACGAGCCTCAACAATATTGTGTTTTCACGAAGCGCATATATTTTTCATACTTTCAGTGAAGGGCTTCTTGCTGATCGACGTGTAGGACTACTTAACATTTTACGCATTCCTGTGCTATCAGCTACGTTATCATTTATAAAGCTTTAAAATAGCTGTAAAATATAGCTGTAAAATTGATTATTTTATTTCCATTTTGGAGTGTATATTTTGGGCTACTTTGGTAATTTTGAGTATTTTCTTTAGGAATTTAGTATTTTCTTTCGAAACAGACCGTTAAATTACAGAGCGCTATTGACTGATTATTTTTAAAAAATTATTTTTAGTCGCAAGAGAGACTTTATTTTTTTCGGTTATTTTTTATAACTAAAAATAAATAAACGTACATTAATGTTAAATTGTTACATTTTATTTATTTTTATTCTTTAAAATCTTATATTGTAACATTTCATAGGCGTAAAACTTTACTGCGATGCATTGAATTCTTATATTTTAAACAAGGAAATGGTTCAGAATTCTAGAATGTAAGATTTCAATGAATCACCATAAAGTTCTATCAAATGATATAATATAATATTCTAAGTCATGAATAAAATGTATATTTTAACATTAAGGTATATCAAGTTAGAACTTTAGAATGTATATTTTCTTTAATGCGATGCACTGAAATCTTATATTTTAAACAAAGAAATGGTCTAGAATTTTAGAATATTAGATTTCAATGCATTGCAGTAAAGTTCTAGACCTACCAAATAATTTAATATAAGATTCTAAGGCATGAAAAGGTGTAAAATGTGTATTAATGTTAAAATGCTATTGAGATATTGATAACATGTCTTCTTTTTAAGAGAGGAAATTTACCATTTAAAAATTTTTAAGTGTAAACTTTTTAATATATTACGGATTTTTTTACAGATTGATTTTGACTTGAAAGGCTAATACTACCCTCTGTCAAGATGATAGGGGGTCTATTTGTTTATAACCATAAGGGAGAGGTACTTATCTCTCGAGTATATCGGGATGATATTGGCCGAAATGCGGTGGACGCATTTCGCGTCAATGTCATCCATGCACGACAACAAGTACGTTCACCTGTAACCAACATTGCCAGAACATCATTTTTCCATATAAAACGCGCTAACATTTGGTTAGCTGCTGTCACCAAACAAAATGTTAATGCAGCTATGGTGTTCGAACTGTTGCTAAAGATCATAGATGTTATGCAGTCATATTTTGGCAAAATTTCAGAAGAGAACATCAAGAATAATTTTGTGCTCATCTACGAGCTGCTCGATGGTATGAGATTTAATCAATATTTTAATGATTGTATACGTAAATTATTTTTTACAGTTTTATTTTTTAATTTTCTTGCAGAGATTCTTGACTTTGGATATCCGCAGAACTGTGATACTGGAGTATTGAAAACATTTATTACTCAACAAGGCGTAAAGTCAGCTACTAAGGAGGAACAGGCTCAAATAACATCGCAAGTCACTGGCCAGATTGGATGGAGACGAGAGGGTATCAAATACAGGCGCAATGAACTCTTCTTGGATGTACTTGAATACGTGAATCTCTTAATGAGCCCTCAGGGACAGGTTCTTAGCGCACATGTTGCTGGAAAGGTACATTAGCCACAGAAAGAAGGGTTAATCAAGATTAAGATTAATCAGTTTGCAGATTTCTGAATCTGAAGATCTTTTCCAGGTCGTGATGAAGTCCTATCTGTCCGGTATGCCGGAATGCAAGTTCGGAATTAACGACAAGATTGTTATGGAGGCCAAAGGAATGAAGGGAGGCGGCGGATTGGGAGGCGGTGGCGATGATCCCACTGGCGCTAGATCCGGCAAGCCAGTTGTCGTTATCGATGACTGCCAATTTCATCAATGCGTTAAGCTTAGCAAATTCGAGACCGAACATTCCATTAGTTTTATACCGCCGGATGGTGAATTCGAGTTAATGAGGTGAGACATTTACTAATGAATCGAATATCGGAATGTCAAAATACTGTGTTCATTTTTACATTGCAGATATCGCACCACGAAAGATATATCATTGCCCTTTCGCGTGATACCTTTAGTACGCGAGGTTGGTCGAACAAAGATGGAAGTCAAAGCAGTGTTGAAATCAAACTTCAAACCTTCATTGCTGGGGCAAAAGATTGAAGTACGCGTGCCGACGCCATTGAATACTGCCGGCGTACAATTGATATGCCTGAAGGGTAAGGCGAAATACAAGGCATCGGAGAATGCGATTGTGTGGAAAATCAAGCGCATGGCCGGCATGAAGGAGACGCAGCTATCCGCCGAGATCGATCTGTTGGAGACTGACACGAAGAAGAAATGGACGAGACCGCCAATATCGATGAACTTCGAGGTGCCGTTTGCACCATCTGGTTTTAAAGTGCGCTACTTGAAAGTATTCGAGTCTAAGTTGAATTACTCCGATCATGATGTGATTAAATGGGTTCGCTACATAGGACGCAGCGGTTTGTACGAAACGCGGTGTTAATGATCCGCGTGAATACAGAGGCATAAATAATTGTAAAGAAGTAATCTCAAATACGACAATTATAAGTATCGGTATTGGATATTTCTCGATATTATTTCATTATAGCTCATATTTGAAGGAACGATTTGAAAAAAAATTCGGATGACTAATCTTGGATCGTGTGTGGACATATGGCGATGTTATGGAAAACATATCGTTTCAAGAGAAATTCCATTGTCAGCACAAAATTTATAATTATAAGGAATTTTTCTTGTGCGTTATATATTGTATTATAAGAGTCAAGTTCCATTAAATTGTTCTTATTTTTGACGATACTAATATAATGTGTCAGGAGAAAGTAAGTAAAAATCCAAGTAGAAAATAGAAGGATCGTGTCGGAAAAATGTTAAATGCATAATACAGTAATCGGTACCAGAGAGATTATTTCTTTCGTGCCAATTTTTTATGTCATCCATTTTTCACATCAATTCCTATTTGATGAATTAACGTTATAAATATAACGAGATTTTATCAAACTTTGAATATGAAGTTTGTTAAAAATGATTAAGCATGATCATTGATTGTTATATCTTTTCTTAAAATTATCTAATTAATTTTTATCTCTTTTTTATCTGATTTTTATATCTCATTTTTCTATCAAAGAATTATTCTATCAGTAAGAATTGCAAGTGTTACATAACCATAATCCAGGTAGGTAATTAGAAAATCTTTATTTGTATTTTTAAAATTGATAAATTATACAATCATCAACGATCGTGGAATAAATATATATTTATAGGATTATGTTACTATGCATAATGTTTTTTTAATACATTACGATAATAAATTTTGTATCGTAATAAAGATATAATATTCATATACATATATATACATATATATACATATGTGTGTGTGTGTGTGTAGTGTGTGTGTGTGTGTGTGTGTGTGTGTGTGTGTGTGTGTGTGTGTGTGTGTGTGTGTGTGTGTGTGTGTGTATATGTATATGAATATAATTACTCATTAATATAATTTCTCACGTGATTTATGGTATATAGAGTTACAGTATGGCCTCTTTGGTACCAGAGTTTGAGCGAAACTGAACAAATTTGTATGCCGCAGATTAAACTTGCTATGCGGTCAATGAAAAGTAGAACACTGATAATATCCTGTATCTGTGCATGAGAATGGAGAAAAGAGTAGAAGGAAGCAGATTAATTATATGAGCGTAATTGATTTTGTCTCTATGAAACGTTCACATGCATAATGAAATATATGTGTAAAATAAATAACTGCCCATGTGTAAATTTGATTACGCTGCTTTCCTTGAAATTATTATCCCGAATATTATATACAACACAATTGATTCGCAAAAAACAAATTTTATAAAAGTGAGAAAATGTTCTAATTATTAACTGGTGCGCATAAAATTATATCTTGCATTTATTAATCAGAAATTGATTACATTATATCTAATTATATTCATATTAATTACATTATTTTGACTAATTATACAGTCTGATTTATTGATAAAATTAAAAATAAATTCCATTTACATATAATTTTAGAATACGATCGAAGCGTTTCATGTAAAATTTATCTAATCAATACGACCGTCATATTTGAAATTTGGAGGGGAAGCAATTTCTAGAATAGTAGAAAATATAAAATTAATTAAACTTTGAAAGCGATATAAAAAGAAAAACTAAAAAAAGTTGAAACAGTGCTGAAACGCGCTAATTACTATTATCGAAATCGAACGATATATCATATCGATGTGCGATATATCGGTATATCTCTCGCTACCGAGATACGCTCAAGATCAATTTATATAATTACACTGATAACACTTATAGCGTTTTCGATTATACAGGATTTGAACGACCCAGGGTTGGTTAATGACGTCATTGCAACCTCTCCACCAATGAAAGACTTGCATTTATAGTAAAATAGTGATTGATCAACCCTGGGTCGTTCAAATCCTGTATAATCGAAAACGCTATTAGTAAATTTGACAAACCAAGATGCACGATATTTCCCAATAAAATAAGTAATCTTATATTTTTAACAACATTTATAATATTATAAAAATACCTGTGACTTTTATAAAATTACATAATAATTATCAGATTTATTATAGCAAGAAATGTTCTAGTGTCTCGCAATTACCAGCTCACGTGATCATATTGCGCTTACTTCGCGCGAAACAAACACAATATGTCGCGTTTAGTTTCGCAATCGCGAAAACGCGCGCGGGCACGCTTTGAATTTCCGTCTGCGAGTTTTCTCGTCTACGTACCGGGCGCTTTCGCGACGGCACACAGCGCGATGACTTTTACCTCGACGCGGCGCATGCGATCCACGCCTGGCCTCGCTCCGCTCCGTGCAACGTACAACGTATACGTATCTCACGTATACCTGTCATGGATTCCGAGGATCGACCGCGACCACCGCGGGTACGCGTGATCACGCGACTTCCTGCGTGAGAGCGACACGCATCGCACGCGCGACGTTGACGCGAGCCGACGGTACGGTGTCCGACGTCCACGAGGAATCGCCAATCGGACGAGACCGCCGTCGTCGCCGTGGACCAGGCGTCGTCATCGCCGTCGTCGCCGTCGTCGATCATGAACGTCGCGGTGCCGCCACGCAGAGGAAGGTGTCGTCGTCGCCGTTGTTGTTGATGCTGCTGGTGAACGTCGCTGGGAGACGCTAGGAGACGCGTCGACGCGACGCCACGCACCGGGAAGCGCGGCGTGCCGAAATGATCACCCTCGACGACAGGCCTTCTGTTCTCATTCGAAGCACGGATCTTGTGAGTATTCCTTTTTTTTTCCTCTCGTCGTTTTTTTCTCATTGGAAGCCCGACGGCTGGCGTCGCGACGCTGCGCCGCGCGTTTTGACTTCGTCGGCGGCGCGGCTTTCTGCGCGCTTCAAATACTTGAGAATATTTCTACGATAATTAGAAGAGATTATCCCGATAAGATATAGAAGCAGGCGTGGATGTACAGAGTAAGGAGGTACGGGCGTTTGTATCGCCGCGACGTCGACGTCGTCGTCGTGGCCCGCGTAGTGGTTCTCGCGAATGCGAGCAGTTTTATGGGTGCTGTTATTTTTAGTGCATACCGTAAACCCACGGCTTCTTGCCGCCATCCGTCCAAGGGAGGCAATCTCGCGTTTTACTCGCGCGCGTTTGCACGTGCGACGAGATCGTCCGGATCGTCGCGGGTGGATCATCGGGAATAACGATCGCGGTAAATATTGTAACAGCCCCCTCACCACCGACGACGGTATACTTTTGGCGGGAATGCCGACGGGATCTTCGAGTGCAAAGTTTGTTTTACAGCGCGATGGAATCACACGATTTTAATCAATCCGACGGAGCAATTAAACTTCATTAATTACGCACTTATCGCGACCTATTTTCAACTTTTGTTCCTCGGAATATAACCGTTTTTATAAGTATATTTAATAAATTTTTGTTTCATGATTATTTCATGAAAATTCCGCGCTTGTTCCTTTAGTATCATGTACAGTTCGCCATTGCATTCGCGCAGAAGATACGTTATTTCGCGAATTTTTACGTGATTGCGATGAGTTTTCGTCTCTCAAAGGCGAATATGTGTGTGCTGATCTTTTTTTGAAAAATAATTTCTGGAAAAACCGGAGTCACGTCTGAGCTTTGAAGAGTTTTGCACGTAAACTCGGTACCTTATCGCCAGTGTAATTTCGGTGAATTTACTTTCGAGGGAGACAGATATAGAATCTGACCCTTATGTAAATTGTCGCCTTTTTATTGCTTCAGGAGCGCATATTTACTGGGAAATTGAATAAAATTTAAACTGTAAGCGTTCGACCGTTAGAATTTCCCACAAAATAAAATTTCTTTTTGAAAGATATTTGAAAGCAATTTTTTTGAAATTGTATATTAGAAGAGGAAAATGCACTCTCGCTGTAAAAGCCATTACTTAGTCGTCATTATCTTTAGACCTCGAAAAAGTTCTTTCTTTCTGCTAACTTCCTGTATTAAAGTTTGACAATTTGGCAAAACTTAATTCCTTTAATCCAAGAAGTAACGCAAAACCCCTTCGTAACGCAAATGTCACCGACTTTAACGGAGACGCGACATAATCTTCGCCAAGAGTAACCACACTGTAGACACGTCCCACAAGGGCTGGAAAACCCTTGTGAAGGATAATATTTTCAGAACACAAGGTTAATCCCTTGTTCTTAATGCCATGACTTATTGAAGCGAGCGCTCTTTTCTTGGGTCTTTACGCTACGCAAATCTCTCGGATCGATCTGGAGAATGCATGGAAATGAGAAATTTATGTAAGAATGAATCTTTCTTAACAGCTCTTTGCTTGAATTTAATGCGCGCGCGTTTATTAACCCTTTTCAAAGAAAATTATAGAGGTATCGACGATACAATTTAACGCCGTACTAACGCATACCGTGTTTCGACAAACTCGGTTCGTTATCTTGACTAGCTCATCGTAATCAGCTGTTATCAAGAGTGACATGCCGCGAGTTTCCTGCCGCCTGGGATTCTGACTGCTCGTATTCGAAAACGATAGTAACTACCTGCATAACTAGAACCATGCTCGAGAATATCACTTTAGAGTGCATACAGACTCCTAACTAACTGTTTGTAAACTGACGTTCACTCTCGAATACTCACTCAACTGACTGGAACATGTTAAGAGTGATGCTCAGCTCTTGATTACATTAATTGTTCAATGCTCAGCTATTTTGCAACGAAACGATATCTTTCACTGATTTTTATAATGAGCCTTGCGTTTCTATGAATAAGATTAAGCCTTCCAATAGTGGAGTTGTTATAAAATAATTAAAAACTGCAAATGTGTGTGCGTAAGTGTAAACTGTAAAATAGTTAAGAAAGTTATCAAAAAAATTTCAAATATTTTACAAACATTGATATTTTGATATTAGAAAATTATATATTATTTTGACGTAATATTTTCTCAAGGTGACATTATCTTCGATTTCGATCACTCTACTTCTCGTGTATAAATAATATAAAATATCTTGAAAGATTAAAGATTAAAAAAGAGTTTACTGTGAGCTTTATGAAAATCCTTGTGGAAAGAAATTGCTATATTAAATAATATTTCGGAAAATTCGTTTCAAAATTCTCTAGTCGATCTTTTCGATAATTTTTTTCTTTAACATTTTGCTCGTACGCGTCCTTTAATGTCGTGTTCGATAAATGTCAAGTTGCAACGATCCCTGAAGCGGTTTTGCTTTTGGAAGACGGAACATATGGACGCCTGAAGATCGATCGATCTAAACGCGTGTACGTGGCTACCTACTTACTGTTTCCTGGTTAACTATATCAGCACGAAACCGATATGCGTGACACGCTAAGTCTAAAGAATTCTATGTTTGTTCTGAAAAAAAAGCGCAAGAGAAAACATACGTCACATTTATTATTACTTTTATTCATATATTATTATCGACGTGTTGAATTTTATTCAGTGGTCAGTGTTCTCTTTCATTCGCGTCCTCCTTGGTACGTTAGATGTTATTTTTATAAAGAAACTCATCCGATGAGAAAATCCTGTATTATTTCTACAGTGCTTTTGTGGTCTAAATGAGTATAATCAAGCTTGTTTGTTTTCCTCGTGTAATGCACGCGCGATATTTTCTGACACAAAATTCCTTTTAATAATTTCTGTACATTGTTTTCTAATAGAATATTTCAATCAACTTTCTCGTTAATTTAACTTGGAAAGCATGATTTATGAATCACAAATCCTGAGATTATATGTGACGTACAGCACGAAGGATTACTATGACAAGAGTAATCCACAATGTGTATTAACATGTACATTTAATTTTGTTCATACGAGAAAATTCCACAAAAGAACATTTTATTTGTATTTTATTTTTTTACTTCGTGGCGACACATTTTCTGATGTAACAGCAATTTAGACCACCTAAATAAAGCACACGTTTCACATTTAATGAATATAAAAAGGCCGCGTAAATATCATTTAACATTTGCATGGGAAAAAAAAAATGTTTTTTTGTCGTGTTTTCATCGAGATTATTCGGATAAATAAAATTGCAATACACGAAATTAAAAATATTGTGTAAATTGAAATTTGCATTTTTATCAATTAAATTCAGGCACGGGAGCCACGCTTTACGCTCCACGCTGTTTAAAAGCGTCCGTAAACGCTAAATGACTCAATTTTTCGCGAAACTTTCCTTGAGGATATTTTTGCTGCGCTTTGTGTGTCTTCGAGCCATACGTTAAATCCGTAAATCTTCAGCACGCCTCGCGATTATTATGCAAATGCCCGCGCGATCTGAGATCGGCGGTGTAGCCTCGTTCGCGAGCGAAACTTCAGATCGACCGATTAAACTACGGGATCTAATCCTACGATAATCGGGACGAGTACATAAGTCTAGACGGTAAAAGTTGTGTGCACAACGCTATAGAATAGTAGTAGGCAGGCACCCTCCCGCGTGTGAATGCACCGACGACGCGACGGTTCTATTATTACTGCCGCACGTGCCGTTGTACCGGCAGATATCCGCTACGCGCGCGCTCGATACGGCTCCATACATGAATGGCCGCGATATTTACTCGCCTTTAACATTCACCCTGTATATTTAATACCCATTGGAAACACGCCAAGCGAATGACATTAATTCTTACTAAAATACACGGTGTGCATTTATCATCTGTAGTGACGAGACGCGCGTCACTGCGGAACGCCTGATAGATTATATCAGTGCCGCGGCGCCGCAGTTTCTATTTTCGAAAAAATTCAAAACAAAAGTAAATAAAGTTTAATTCGCCTTTTTTTCGCCAGCATGCTTTTTGTTGTCGGCAGTTTTTGTTATTTCAGCGGCAATTTTTATTCCGTCTGCTCCAGATCAGGCGGAATAAAAATTGCTCGTTATTAAATATGCGGCGATCCGTAATTTCTGTGATACAAATTTACGAACAGAGCGTTGAAGATGCGAGGATCTTTTTATCTTTGTTACTTTTTTTTTGGCCACACGATGTATATTGTCGGAGAGTAGTCTCTTTTTTTTTTTTGTAAATTGCTAGAATCGTTACACGCGGAAATTGGCAACGATGCAGAATCAAGCTTCTGTTTGCTGTGCGAATCTATGGCAGCCAAGAAGTGCATTTATGACAGCGTATGCCAACTTAAGTAGTTCCGTAGAATCTAGCGAAATGAACAATTTTTCTGCGCCGTTTTACGTGAAAACTCATGTGCAGTCACTCATATGAAAATAAACTTCCGGAAATTTGCCAGATGCTTGTCTTCGACGAGCCTCCACTTCGCGATAGACAAATTGATCGAAAACCGTTCTGTCTCCGGAGATTAGTCGAATAAAATGCAAATTACAGCTCGTATCTTGAATATGTAGAATCGAAATACTCGTCTCTTTCCCGTCTGAGATCACTGTCGTAATAATGTTTGGAGCAATTTCAAATGCCAGGATGTTTATTTCTCATTTCGTACGACCAACGAGACAAAAGCAATCGTGATAAATAGTATCGCAAAAACGCACATCGCGTTTAAACGTTCTTAATTTAATGATGCTAACTATTTCATCAATATTTCGAGCAATTGTCATTAACACGTGTAAGTTATATTTTCCGCGTTTATATTTCCCTATAGAATAATTGATATTTTCCATATTTTTTACACATTTTAACAACCTTATTTGATTACAAGATATTAAATTTCTTATTCTATTAAAGTTATTATTATCTAAACGTTACGAATAAAATCATGAATGTTAATAATGTGTCTTTTCTAAATTCACGCTGTTCTAGTTTATAAAATAAGGCTTATTAAAAAATATTGTATTTCTTGCGGTTATCAGTTTCACTTCTATCTCTGCGAAGAGTATCGTAGAATATCAGGACACGAGCACAAATGGCTCTGAACAAAATCCATCCAATTTTAACCCGCTATCCCTTCGAGATCTCCTGCTGCTACGAGCTCGGAGATCTCGAAAACAAATCCCTTCGCTCGAGCGAACCGAGAAAACAAGAAAATCGCACAAGACTTTAAACTAGGATGACCAGATCTTTAAGTTGCAACAAATCGAGGCCAACATGAGACATCAATTTTGCGCAGTCATAAATATATCGTTATTCCGTATCCGGAAACTTGTTCCGGAAAGAAATAAAGATTATCGCAGCAAATTGAAAAATATTCTTTTGAATGCGAAATTATACGCATTAATAATTTAATTGAATTAAAATTTATTTTCCTTTACGTGACTTGCTAACGCGAATTAAAAAGCGCTTTGCGTCAAAGTCCGCCTTATGCAGTGGTGTAGCTTAGAATTAAATTTTGCTGCGCAAATTTGATCGATTTACCATTACAAGTATGAACGCTCGCTGAAAAAGCAGAGCACATTAGAGTATTGAATGCGCGACGGGCCAGAAAAGCCGACAGCTTCTGGACCCGACCTTACTTTAAAGCGCGCATACGCCCGCTACTTTGTCCCCGAGGTATGTGCCGCGAGAGAGTCACCCGTTTGGAAGAGAGAGAGAGAGTCGTCGGGCCGCTCATAAAACTCGGCGTGTCGGCAGAAATAATCCCATCGATTCGCCTTCCGGAAGAAGCCACGCCGGTACGTTCAAGCTCGCACGATTACGAGCGAAAGCGGGCGTGTAGATCCATTCCAAAGTGGCAGGCGGGTGTTTAGGGGGAGGAGAGGAATAAGGGGACGGGCGGTAGGATCATCCTTTAAAACGACAGCTTTAATATCAGTCTGGATGTGTTTGTGAGCGCAGGAGGAGCGGGCGGCAGCGGTCGGGTGGAAGCTTTGAAAAGCCGGAGAACGTGTCGTGCTGGAGAACGACGCGCTTAACGTCGTCGTCGTCGTCGCCGCCGCCGCCGTCGTTGTCGTCGACGAGGAGACGAGGAGTGAGTGCGCTCTCTCGCATTCGGCGTGGGCAGGCCAGTGCGCGAGCAGCGGACGACGCAAGGATGAGGCAGGTGGTCGTGCTGGAGCCGGCGGGCAGCGTGCTGGTGATCAGACAGACCTCCCTGAGCGGCGGCGGCGTCGCCGCCACCGGAAATGTCAACTCCAATCCGACGGGCGCCGGCGACACCCACGCCTTGGTCAATCACCATGCCGTCTCCACGATCGCCTCGAACGATCACAATCAGAACAGGATCGTCGTGGTGCGCTCGTCCACCACGTCCACCTGCATGACCAGCTCGGTGAGAACGGCGCGCGACCTTTACACATGTGCAACCGGCGAACCGCGAGTCGTAGATTGCCAGGGGTGATTTAGCTTTGCTCGGGGGTCTCTTTGTTCATGTTTACTTTACGAGTCTGTTATAACACGGATTCCAAGTTGCGCGCTAACTAAACCGGCAACTGAATCCATTATGTTGGCATTTCGCTTTTGCGAGTTAACAGTTTCGGGATAATAAATCGCGGCGCGGAATTATAAAGATTAATTTTAACCCGCGGCAGAATTCACCATCTAAAGTTTCGATTGTCCCAGAAATTCTGTTTTACTATCGATCATCGCCGTAACAAACATTCGACCGTCTTATTCGGCGGAGGGATTATTTAAAAAGAGACTATAGATATTTATAATTGTGCCACAAATGTCTACAACCACGCTATTTCCGAAGTGCATTGTGAATATTCAATACTGCAAACTGGTTAATTAATTCTCATTCGCGAGCTGCTGTCTGGTAAATTGCTCGATACTACCTCGATTTAACTATCAGGCTAAACGTGGAGGAAGTCATATTAGGAAAGTTCCTGCTAAAAACGTGTTGGCGGTATAAAAGGTCAAATGATCGCTGAATACGAGGCTGAAGGTGCGAGGGAAAGGTGTGCGAGGCGGGCGTCTTCTTTTCTCTTTCAGTGTAGGACAGATACGCGAAGGATCCAGTTAGTCTCGCAACAAAGTACTCACAGAATAAAAGACTTGCCTTTCCAGTCGGCGTAGCGCGAGAAAAAGAAATACCGCCGCCTATATAGCTTTACAATACGAAACGAGACAACTTCAATTATAGCTGGGAATGGGTGGCAGGTGGTACCACCGAGCCTCGCCTCGTTCCAACGTAAAGGGTTAAAGAGGATAGATCGCTCCTCGTCGCGAAGGACGCTCCGACGCAATTTGATGTCGCATTTTGATGCAACTTCCACGATATTTGCATGCTTTTAAGAACGTTGCGTTACTTTTTAACGTCACAAAGTCGCAAAAAAATAGAGATGGATTAATAATCATGCTTGTTTAAAATTCTGACGCTACTTTAATCCACTTCAGCATAGTTTTGAATATCTTTTTATCAACATTAAGCAGGCATTGGAAGCAATATTTTCCATTTTCAAGTTTTCAGCTTCGAATTTTTGCGGTTTTTGGTGTAAATCTAAATTTATTTTAACGGAAAAAGCACCGCGCGCTTATATATTTTCCGTAAAATCTCCGTTTTTACGACCGACAAAATAACTAAAATAGCCCACTGGTGCGACGCCGCGCGCTTTACGATCGCTTTTGTGCACCGTTTTAGGCCGACAATCACGCATCGACCAACGGTAATAGCAACATCAATGTTAACGCGAACATCAATGGAAACCCCGGCGGCATCAGCTGCAAAACGTCGCCGAAGGTCGGGGTTGGCGGCGGCGGCTGTAAGCCGAACGAGAGAAACGATCATCTGCGGAACGAGCACAAAAGCCAGGACGCCAGCAGCAACGAGACGAACCCCGTCTCTGGATGTCGTCCAAGGACGAGCAAGGAAGCCGCTCACGAGAACGTCGCCTCCGACAGGAAGCTCGATGGCGCGGATCCCATCTCCGGTGAGTACTTCCGCCATTACTCACCTGTGCTCTATGACAGCCCGAGCGATCGCCTCGTAAATTATTTACGCATGCATCTGTCTGGGAGGGATTCAGATATATGATACGTCTTGCACCCTTCTTATGACTAATAAAGCTAGATTAGAATATTGGAACAGCAGATATCGGTAAACCTGGAAAAACACAGTAAAAAAATGGATGCGTGGATATCGAGGCGAAAAAAATATTACGGTTGAAAAGAGTTGAGATCGACTGAAATGAATAAAATTTATATACAGTGGTTAGAAAAAAATATGCAATAATGGAATATATTTTATTTAATGAAGAATTGATGAATATAAAATTATTTGAAAAAAAACGTCAGGGAATGACCTCGCAATTCAAAGCGAATAGAAATGATGCAATTTTACATAATGAAAGTATGAGCTTTATTGCATAGCAGCATCAGCGTCGCGGTCGGAGTTTTCGCGACCGTTGTGTCGTTAAGAAAAGTTTTCAGGCTCGCCTGTCTAAGGCGCAGCTTTAAGTAGTTCTCGAAAATTATGGCGCTCTTGCACGAAGAGCCAAACGGGTGGGGAAACGGACAAAGAATTAGTCCCGCGCGTTGAGACTCGAAGAAAATCGCAATGAAGTTTAAAACAAACACCAGCGTTTTAAAGCGTGCCGTTACGCCGCCGCCACGAGAACGGGTGGCACCGTGACGGAGAGAAGCCTGACCAAAGTTTCCACTCATCACGATGGAAACGGAAACTGCACACAAACTGCACTCGAGTTTCGCACGGGAATGACTTCGAGGCCCGTAAACCACGCGATTAGCAGCGAGCGACCCGTATGAAGGAACGATAAACTATCGGCCCTACAACTTTTATAGTTTGTAAAGCTTCCCGTGTAAATTGGCCAAGAAGCAATAGGTGCTCCTTACGGCTATTAACGTGCGGATAATTAAACGAGATAAGGATAAGGGGGTGGCAATAAAGAAAATTTGTATTAAATTGGCTTCGAGAAGAGATTTGACGATAATGCATTCGAGAAATTAGAAGTTTAGCCGCTATAAACGTATGCGCGAATTGGACATTTCAATTTTTTTTCCTCAGATACTTTTAAGATTAAAAATTTCAAGATTTTTTTCCATACAGTTTGTTCTTTTTAATCAAATTACAGAATTGTATTAAAATCAAATTTTGTGATTTTTACATCTTCGAATCTCGACATTTTCTCGATATAAATGCTTGAATTTTTTAATTGAAAAATATTCAAGTTCTCAAGCTTTTTTGGAGCTTTCAGATTTTTCAGTCATCAATATTATTAAATCTTTAATTTTTAGCCATTTCAAATATGGAGAATTGATTATATATATATATATATATATATATATATATATATATATATATATATATATATATATATATAATGTCTGATATAGAATTCGTATGTGCAATATTAGTGCCGTGACATAACATTGTTATAACTTCATTTTTTGACGTAACTGAATCGCCGCACTTTTTATACCTTGCTAAATTGTTTCGTGCAGTTGCAAATGAATTTAGCTGTCACTGTATGTCGGAAAAGGGTGGTCCATGTACAGATGTTACACGTTGATCTCCGATAATACGCAATGTCGATACGATATTTTTTGCACGGCATGCCGCGTCGCGCAACGATAGCTGAGGAATAAAAACAAAATGTAGTTGAAAACCGAATGCAGGAAGCAAATATCCACAATTCACCAAGCGGGATTACTCCTTTTCCATCTAGACAGACTGTAAAAACTGAATCGATCGATGTGCGCCGAGGGCTAGCACTCGACGAAGAAAATCCCCCGTTTTTTTTCATCTTTTAATCGCGCAACGTATCGTCGTACCCATTTTTTCGAAAATCGCCATCTTCACCGAAGCGGAAATTATCGATCTGAATTACGATGGCCTGGATTCTCATATGCATTAATAAAAGCGCGTATTTTCCATTTACAAGTTTTTTTTCAAGTCTTCGAATTGCACGGAGAAAAATTACGCAGCGATTCGCGCATTCTGTTTTGTTATAACTTTATTATTAATTTTAATCCAACTTTTGTTTGTAAATTACATATTACAATGGAACTTCTGCCGCTTTTTCCACGGTGTGCGCAGGAAAACTATCACGTACAAACTTTGCGACGTTACGTCAGGATTTCCGTTACGGATGCCGCTGCACCTTTCCTGGGCACGAATTTGCCCGCGTACGATTTCGTCACGTTTCCCGCTTTTATGTTCCAAAGGTTTTGCCTGGCTTTATATCCCCTCTCATCCCATATTCCATCGCGAAAAGAGGTTTCGGCTCATTTCCAGAATTGACTCTGTGCACCGCGCGAAGATGCGCATGTATTCCGCCGACTCACACGCGACATATGCATAGCCGCCGGGCGGCTACAGAGCACAGTCGGCTTCTCTATTCTGCGAGCAACATTTTCCATAAAGAGCACTCGTGCATGAATCCGATTCCGAATATAAATAGAAGGAACGGGCTGCCGCAAAGCGAGAAAGAGAGATAGAAACCCGCGGAAAGTAGTTATCGTTTGACGTGCGGGAAGTACAAGACGCGGATGCTAACACGCGCAAATTTCGAGTTGACAGTTTTTACGAGCGCCAAGTTCTAACGACGTGACGAAACTCGACGACAACTCGCGCAAGCAGTTAGTCATGTCTGTACCAGGAAAAAAAGAAAAAGAAAATCCGAACGTTCTTATTGCGACTTGGCGTTCAACGTAACGTTAATACGAAGTTTAATCGAAATTTTAATCGAAAATGTAGGCAAACGTTTCGTCCCGACATCTGACACGTTTTGATGTTGTAAAAATATTTATTCGATTAAAATCCGATCGTCATGTGAAATTCGAGGTGTATTTTCGAGAAGACGGTACCATTCTTATTTTTTTTTATCAAATTTAGATCTAAAAATGAGCATATAAGTTATTGCAGCGGTAAATATAATTGGAGCTATTTACTTGAATACTTAATAGCCTCGTCTCCCTGAAGATCAATATGCGAAGTGGCAAATTATTTTCTGATGTACCTAATATTCTCTTAAAAGTTTGATAAATGTAGCTAGATGGCGAAAACATTTTCTGTATCGTGACCGGCTTTTGTGACGCACAAGACCTTCTCTATCGTGCTCCTTATTTATTGTCGACCTTGTTATTTATTGTTAGTGCTACATAGGCCGGGAAAGTTTCTCTTAGGATCTACGGTTTTCCGATCGCGTGCAAACCTTAACCCTCCATAGTTCACGACGCGTTTTCTTCTGGAGCAGATCCTTTAATGTTTATCACTGGTTGACGATCAAAGACCTCGGAGAAAAGTTGGCAGCTAATAAGATTTGAAATGAATATTATATGAGAAGATATTCTTCGCTTGTAAATAATAATTCTTTGTTTACGAGTAGAGAGCTTTATTTATGAATAATAATCATTCTGTTGTCGCAACAATTATAAAGTAATACGTTATGCAAGAATAACATTCAAAAATTCTCATTAATATTTAATGTTAGAATTATAATTTTATTTCATAAAAATGAAAACATTTGTAGAGAAAGTAATAAATTCATCGTTTGCATAGAACTTCTCTCTCGCACAATACAATCATTCTCTCTTTTATGTGTTTTATACTAATGTATAAATTTGCTCTTTGTCAAAATAATTTACTATTTTTAACACTATAATAGATTAAATATTATAAAAAATTTACATGATTATTAACGCATTCCTCATTTGTTGATATTGCAAATCGTGAATTTCTGAGAATAAAATATATTTTCATCTTTTCACTGGCATTTAATTTGAATACTTCTTTTATCAAGTTAGATACAATGGGTACAATAGAAAATCACACCGAATGCACAATCCAATATAGTACATGGTATAAGAACGAACTCCGAAGCACTTCCCTTCCTTATCGACGAGAAATTCACCCCCGGAATCACTCGCTCGTCGCCCGTTCCGGGAGAGACATCGACGTCGTAACGCTCCATTCGTGCTTCCGAAGAAGTGCACCCCGGCGAGATAGTACCCCCGGCGACACGGGGTAATTCGTAGTTCCGGCAATATCCGCCAGAGCGGCGATCGTGCGGCCTCCACCACCCCCCCGTTCTCTCTCTCTTCATCGCCCACCTCCTTCCCCTCCCCCCCTTCCCCCCACGCCCTTTTGCCCACGAGGCCCCGGCACCGACGGGCACCCGCTGGCCTATCCCGTCCTATCCTGACCTATCCGATTGCCTATCCGGCAACTAGACCAGATATCGACCCCCTCGAAGGAGCGGGCCCTTCCCCGCGGAAACGCTCGCCTTCCCCTTTAATCCCGGCGCCCTTAATCGTTTCCCCGCTCCGCCTCCCCCCGCGCCTCGTCTCGCCGGTGACTTTATTTCAGCGCTCTCGCATTCAGGAATAAGACTCGATGACATAGCTCGTGACAGTCTCCGTCACGGCCTGGCAGGAAGTGTACCGAACTCATTCGACGAATCCGGGCTCGAGTTCCTTCGGACCTGGCAATCTTATTGATTGTCTTAGCTCTCATGCCGTGACGCTTCCTCTCTCTCTCTCTCTCTCTTTCTCTTGCTCTCTCTCTCTCTCTCTCTCTACTCTCTCTCTTCTCTCTCTCTCGTTCTCTCTCTCTCTCTCTCTCTCTCTTCTTCTCTCTTGTTCCCTTTCTCTCTTTCTTTCTCTGCTTTCGGCTCTCTCTTCCTCGCTGCTTTCCACCCTCTAACCGCCCTCCTGCATCTCCTGCGGCCCATCCCACCTCTCCCACAGTTCTCTCTCGTAAATCGACTTTCTCTTTCTATCTACCTGTGTCTCTCTTTCTCTCTCCTTCTCTTTTACTATCACACCCGCCACCACATTGACGGCGAGTTATCGCCGACGACTAACGACCAGCGACTTACGTGTCCAGCTTCGTTCCCGTCGCACGAAAAAAAAAAACCGGAGTGAAGAACTACCTACGTGACGCGGTGGGGGGGGGGAGGACCGATGGATA